GTGCTTGTGCTATAAAGCCCTATATGCAGACCTTACAAAGAACACACCACTCCCCTCACGCACTCATTCCCATTGGTTCGTCCTATCCTCCCTTAGGGAAGCAGATTCTAAGATTCCCTTTAATTCTTCCACATATTCCAGTTCCCAAGTGAACCAAGGTCTTTGCCATTCTAAACTCCATTGCCATCTTCCATTACTCCATTGACCCATGCTAGCCACCGGATTTTGTTGCTGTGTCAAAACAGAAAAAAGTCTCCTAAACCTCGCTGCAAGTGGATCCTCTAATGCCCACGAGTTAAGCCAAAATCTGGTTCTTTGTCCACCCCCATTTTCCAATCTACTGCATCCATAAACCAGTTGCTATTATGCTCCCCACCTGATGCCAACATTATATCTCGCCACCACAGAGACATCATTTGTTTCTGTGATCCTCCTTGTACAGTAGTTGTAGGTCCATATTTGGATATCAAGATTCTGCCCCACAAGGAATTTGGTTCATGATATAATGTTCATCTCCACTTTGCAAGTAGAGCATCATTAAATAAGTCCAGTCTTTTAATGCCAAGTCCGCCATCCTCTTTAGGTATGGTAATTTTCTTTCAAGAAACCCACGCCATTTTAGATTCCTCATTCTTAGCCCCCCAGAAGAAGTTCCTTTGCAACTTGGTAAGTTGTTTTACCACCATTCTCGGCATCCGGTAGAATGACATGAAGTACAGTGGTAGGATGTTAAGACAACATTAATCAAACATACTCTTCCATCAATGGATAGTGTTCTTGCTCTCCAGGCCGATAACTTTTTTGAGAACTTCTTAATAATAGGCTGCCATGTCTCGAACCTGCTAGGATTCACACCTATTGGAATACCAAAGTACTGAAATGGTATAGGTGACAACTTACAATGTAACGTTTCAGCATATGATATCAATACCTCCCTATTCACACCAATCCCCCCGAGACTGCTCTTTGCAAAGTTAACTTTCAGTCCGCTGGCTAATTTGAAGCACCTAAGGATGACTTTCAAGGTTTTAACATTGTCAAGGTTATCTTCACCAATGAATATGGTGTCATCAGCATATTGTAAAATGTCAACTGGTTCACTGTGTGAACCCACTGATATGCCAGAGAATAGTTTTTTTTGTGTTGCCTCTCTAACTAGCCTAGTCAAAAATCTAACTAGCCCAGTCAATATTGTAAACTCTAAATTAGTCTTAACTATGTCTCGATGTCATATGTCTTATTAGAGCAATACAAGATAAATCCTAAGCTTCATCGCACCAACATTTTCAACATCATGTTAATCATTACTTGCATAACCAACACAAGAGCAACAACAAACAAAAAGAGTATCAAACATATGCGATCAAAAATGCAAAGCGAATAGTCAAACACAAACAAGGCATACGACAAGACATAACATACACAAATAATTTCATTATCATGCTTGGTTATTCATTTATGTCATAATAAACAATAACAGTTAACATTATAATGCATATGTAATGGACACAACCTACATATTATTATGTATGTGACATCATTAAAAATATTACATTTGTGCATTACCACTAACAATACATAGAGTATCCTAGGAATACATATCAGGTCACACCCTTTACATAATCTCATTAGGAGGACATACTACCAAGGTCTAGTCAGGATAGCTAAGTTGCATCCCATGCACACAAGGGCAAGATTGGGACTTTCAAACTAAGTTATTCCCAATGATTGATCCTCAAGCTTTTACACAATGGGCTTTCTCTAGCGGTGTATTTCATATCGTACCCTTAAAACACATTTTTATGCAAATGATACATGTCAAACAAACTCGATGTTATAACATACACATGATCTCACTTCACATATCATATATTCCTCATATCACCTCATATATCCTATGTACATTCTCAAATACATCAACTAGTCATTAGTAAAAAGGTAGTATCAAGATCACAAGGGTAAAATAACCAACTACCAATTATTGAGCGAATGTTACCTCGTTGAGCTACTTAAAGCCTCACATTGAAAGGCTAACATCTAGGTGAGCCACCTACATCTAGTTGAGTAAGCTCATTCCTTTCTTGTTGAGCGACCAACATCTAGCTGAACAAGCTAAAACCCCTGAGGTTTCTTACTGAGCAACCACCATCTAATTGAACAAGTTGAGTCCCCTAGGGATCCTCGCTAAGCGACCAACATTTAACTGAGTGAGCTAAGCCTCTTGAGGCTCCTCGTTGAGCAACCTAACACATCTCATTACTAAGCAAGAATGCAATCTTCCTCCTTAAAAATCACATCTCTCAGATCATACAGTTATAATCCAAAATATACAATTGATCATATATTCAAACAATTCATGTTATTAAGATTATGTTAGAAGAACAAGAGACAAAACTGAGGCATTTGGGAAAAACTTCTCATATATAAGCATACAACATACATATTAAGATTGGAACAATAATAATAATAATAATAATAATAATAATAATAATAATAATAGAATGAAATAAGAAAAAGAGCAATATATTGTGATAAAATGAAATGATATTATGACAATATAGAATAAAAGATACTGTGAAATAATACTATTTAAATTAGAAATAATACTATAAAATAATAGTGTATTAACATTATAAGCATAAAAATAAATAATAAAATATTAAAAGGATATTATAATAATAAAAACTTAGAAAAGATTTTGACTTTAAATAAATATAATGTTGCTAGATACAAAACTAATAAAAATTTGCAAAAAAGAATCATATTTATTAAATTAAATATTTAAAAATTAAAATTATTTGTCACATTATATATATATATTATAAATTTTAATCATATTAAAATAAGTATTTGTCTCGTACATTAGATAAACTCAGATATAAATTATATTTAAAATTAGTATACATAAATATTCTATAAACATATAAATTATATTTTAGATTTATGATAAATAATTTATATTATAACAAAAAAATTATTTTTATTTATTAATAATTTATTTTAATATATTAATATTTAATTATTAAATAATTATGATAAATGAAATTTAAATTAAATAATGAACTCTCTGATTAAAAAATTTAAAAACATATTTATATAGTATAAAAATTCATATTTAATATATAAAAATGGAGAATTAGTTAGAATAATTTCATTCTCAAATTTGAAATTCGAAATTTAATACCGCGATACATTGTCTACTAATAAAAAAAATAATGTTATTGTTGTGATGAAGGAGTATCACTACTAGAAAAGTGTTATTTTTTTGCAAATTTTCTTGCAAAAAAATATTTGCAGAAAATTTTTGCGAATTTTAAAATTCGCAAAAATATATTATCCACGAAGGTATTACCTGCAAATAAAATTTCGAAGAAAAATTTGCAGGAAACGTTGTTCCTGCAAATTTTTCTTCGAAATTTTATTTGCAGGTAATACCTTCGTGGATAATATATTTTTGCGAATTTTAAAATTCGCAAAAATATATTATCCACGAAGGTATTACCTGCAAATAAAATTTCGAAGAAAAATTTGCAGGAAACGTTGTTCCTGCAAATTTTTCTTCGAAATTTTATTTGCAGGTAATACCTTCGTGGATAATATATTTTTGCGAATTTTAAAATTCGCAAAAATATATTATCCACGAAGGTATTACCTGCAAATAAAATTTCGAAGAAAAATTTGCAGGAAACGTTGTTCCTGCAAATTTTTCTTCGAAATTTTATTTGCAGGTAATACCTTCGTGGATAATATATTTTTGCGAATTTTAAAATTCGCAAAAATATATTATCCACGAAGGTATTACCTGCAAATAAAATTTCGAAGAAAAATTTGCAGGAAACGTTGTTCCTGCAAATTTTTCTTCGAAATTTTATTTGCAGGTAATACCTTCGTGGATAATATATTTTTGCGAATTTTAAAATTCGCAAAAATATATTATCCACGAAGGTATTACCTGCAAATAAAATTTCGAAGAAAAATTTGCAGGAAACGTTGTTCCTGCAAATTTTTCTTCGAAATTTTATTTGCAGGTAATACCTTCGTGGATAATATATTTTTGCGAATTTTAAAATTCGCAGGAAAAGTTGCATGTAATAAGAGAAATTCTAGTAGTGTATAAGGTTTGTTTTATTAGAGAAGCATATGATAACAAAAGCTGATATATGAACCGTGGTTAATACGGGTTTTGTTTTCTTACGCGGAAAGTTGCGACTTTTATGCAGTCCTCGTGCCATCACTTTGTTCATAATTTGTTATGCATAGGAAAGGAGGCGTTCACAGTTCACACCACCAAACATCACTGTCTAAAATGATACTCATGCCCCCAAGCTGATTATTGTAACACCCTATTATTTTAATATTATTATTGAGTCTTTTCGTAAATTTATTAAGTTTTAGGGGTATTTTTGTAAATATTAATGGCATTTTTGCAGTTTTATTAAAGTTTGAGGGGTAAACGGGTAACTTGGAACGGGCTGTTCCAAAGTTGGAACGGGTCGTTCCAAGCAATAAAAAGATACTGAAATTTTAAGTTGGGAACGGCCCCAGAACGGGCCGTTCCGGTAGGAGAACGGGCCGTTCCGGTAGGAGAACGAGCCGTTCCGGAGGGAGAACGGGCCGTTCTGCTGAGAGTGAGAACGGGCCGTTCTGGTTTTAGAACGGGCCGTTCTGCTTTTTGGAAACGGGCCGTTCCAATTTTAGAACGGGCCGTTCCAGTTGAAAATTTTGCACAGATTCGAAGGTTCCAGAACGGGCCGTTCCGAAATTGGTACGGGCCGTTCCGGGTAACCCAGATTGCCTATAAATAGGAGGCATGGGGGGGTGAAAAATTATAACTGTGAAGGGTGACAAATTTTAGAGAGAGAGAGAGAGAGAGAGAGA